CACTGTCAGAGGGGGTAATGATGTAAACTGCGGCAGTGAAAGCCTGAATGCAAAGCCAGGCTCTTTCTCCCTGATGCTCGTATTAACGCTCGTTCCCTCAGGACCCAGATCAGCTTTTCAGCAGCTTTTACACTGTCAGGCCATTTCACCTGCTGCACAAATGCCAGTAAACCTCTTAAGCCCATTTTGCCCCATTTCTCTCTCCATTCCCCTCACAACAAGTCTCAGAGGATTCACAGAAGACAAAGACAGAAGCCTTTCTCCGGCTATTAGGGCCGTTTAAAGCGATCCCCATGTCTAAAGACGGCTGAAATGTATTGCTGTCAGACGTATTGTGATGCCTGTGATTCATGTTTTTATAGTCTGCATCAGGTTTTTAAAACGAGATCAGTGTGTAATCGTTTGCACGTTGGTGGCCTCAGATGCAACACTTACACATTGTCTTAAAGTTTAATAGGAGAAAACTCTATTGAGTCTTTTGTTAAAGCCAATTAAAATGATGTATAAGACTTCTCCTGAATGTGCAGGTCTGCCTCACAAGACTTTTAATGAAACAGCTCACTTTCCAGTCTTCTTAATTTAAATTGCTTCCTTTATTAGTACCGTATAAAATCATCTGCCAAGTTTCAGCAAAGTGTTACAACTGCTCTTCACCCACACACATATGGAAGCTGTTCTGATTTAATTCAATGCAGATTAAAAAGTCAATAAAGAGGCACTATGCTGCTCTCTTTGCTGCAGTGTGTTATAAAGGTTTCTGTGCATGTAAATGGTCTGCAAAGGCTAAAATCCAAAAGTTACGAAACATAGTGACATCTCTATGGAACACTAGCGCTCCTATTGGCTAGCGCTCCAACACATTGTACGTGATAGGCTAAGGGGCGGGACATCTCTAAGCAGGTTGACCAATCACAACAGAGCTGGCCAGCTGACCAATCAGAGCAGACTGGGCTCTGGTTTCAGACAGAGGGTGAAAAGAGGTGCTGCAGCACAGACAGTATGAGAAAAATAAGAGCTTTTTGAACATTAAAGCATGGAGACATGTCCCAGTAGAGACACTACATACTGATATACACCTGAACATCAGCAGGAGAGGACTCTTTAAAGTAGAGACACTACATACTGATATACACCTGAACATTGACAGGAGAGGACTCTTTAAAGTAGAGACACTACATACTGATATACACCTGAACATCAGCAGGAGAGGACTCTTTAAAGTAGAGACACTACATACTGATATACACCTGAACATCAGCAGGAGAGGACTCTTTAAAGAAGAGACACTACATACTGATATACACCTGAACATCAGCAGGAGAGGACTCTTTAAAGAAGAGACACTACATACTGATATACACCTGACCATCAGCAGGAGAGGACTCTTTAAAGTAGAGACGCTACATACTGATATACACCTGAACATCAGCAGGAGAGGACTCTTTAAAGTAGAGATGCTACATACTGATATACACCTGACCATCAGCAGGAGAGGACTCTTTAAAGTAGAGACGCTACATACTGATATACACCTGAACATCAGCAGGAGAGGACTCTTTAAAGTAGAGACGCTACATACTGATATACACCTGAACATCAGCAGGAGAGGACTCTTTAAAGTAGAGACACTACATACTGATATACACCTGAACATCAGCAGGAGAGGACTCTTTAAAGTAGAGACACTACATACTGATATACACCTGAACATCAGCAGGAGAGGACTCTTTAAAGTAGAGACACTACATACTGATATACACCTGAACATCAACATATACCCCTTTAAGGAGTCAATATGAAGTTGAGAAAAAAGTTTGTGTGTGACAGCATGCTCATCTTTCTCCAAAAAGGCTTCAGTATTCTGTGATACTTCCAACAAACATATCGGCTGAGTGTTATTTCCCACAGGGCAACACAAACAACAACAAAAGGAAAATGAATTATGTCTGTAATAAATAATCCTCTTAACGCGATGGAGTTTAAACATGGACAACAATGGCTTTTCAGCTCAAATCTCTCATAGCTGAGGGCAAAAAGTTTCCTCTAAAATACACACACACACACACACACACACACACACACACACACACACATACACATACACATACACACACACACACACACACACACACATACACATACACATACACATACACACACACGCACACACACACACAGCTGTTGATGAAGACAGATATGTTTTAGGTTAGAGGTGAAGAGTGTGTGGGTGTGTTTTGCTGATGAAACAAGCGGAAATACATTTATATTTCTTATGGTGCAACAAACCAACGTTTTATGTGTATATTTTTAAGATATACTTTAACAACCTAAAAAAAAACATGTGAAATGCATCTGAAATGCATTTATGTATGGTATGTTTTTATTCAGTTAGTTTTGGCCTCATGAATTCATAAATATTCAATAAGTGTGCTTTAGTTCATATTGTTGAAAAGGTTTTTTTTGTATATTCACTATGTATTTCTTTCCTCTGTCCCAACAGATTGCCTTCTCTCAGCACAACAGCATCATGGACCTGGTGCAGTTCTTCGTCACCTTCTTCAGGTAACTTTTTACTACTGATGGTCAAATGTACTGTGTGTGTTCAGTTCTTCAAAGCCTTTTTCATTCATGAAACGCCTTGAGTTGAAGTATGTGTATGCAGCCTCAGGCAAGACACTTAACCTCCAAACTCCAAACTGTTTTGAACATCTGCAAACAAATGTATAATCTTGTTAGGGTTCAAAAAAGTCGAAAAAACAACAACTTTATTGTCAATCTTTCAGTTTGTGTGGACAGACAGAGAGATTTCCCACAATCCTGAGTACAAAATACTGCGGGGTCTTAAAAAGTATTACAAGTTGATCAATCAATTTAGCGAAAATGAAGGCTATTAAAAAGTATTAAACAGCATTTTCCAAGGTATTACATTTTGCAGCTTGTTTTCAGTAAGTATATAAATTGTCCAAAGAGGTTGTATTCTACAGTGTGCCTGAATGTAATCATTGCGTAGGTGTGTAGTGTGATTCTGTGTAGTTTATTTATGGCATCCCGTTGGATTTGACGTCATCTGAACAGGACATCGCACGCTCACTGCTTGATAGCGCGCGAAGGTCCGTTTACGCCGGTTGTTAAACAACATCGTTATGGGGAAATGCAAGTCTGCGTCCAAATGGTTGGAAGATAAGGAGGAAGGACAATCAATACAGTATATAGTAAATGTGAGGTAAAGTGTGTCGCCAAGGTAACCGGTTAAAACTCCAAGTGGCGATGAGGTCTTAAAATGTATGGAAAGGGTCCAAAGTTCCAAAAATACTTAAAGTTCCAAAAATACCGTAAATTCCAAAAATACTTAAAGTTCCAAAAATACTTAAAGATCCAAAAATACTTAAAGTTCCAAAAATACCGTAAATTCCAAAAATACTTAAAGTTCCAAAAATACCGTAAATTCCAAAAATACTTAAAGTTCCAAATATACTTAAAGTTCCAAAAATACTTAAAGTTCCAAAAATACCATAAATTCCCCAAATACTTAAAGATCCAAAAGTACCGCAAATGGTTGGAAGATAAGGAGGAAGGACAATCAATACTGTATATAGTAAAAGTGAGGTAAAGTGTGTCGCCAATGTAACCGGTTAAAACTCAAAGTGGCGATGAGGTCTTAAAATGTATGGAAAGGGTCTTAAAAAAGGTCTTAAAAGGGTTTACATTTGACTTCAGGATTCCTGCATATACGCTGAAATATACATAAAAATATGTATACAAATATGTATATACCTACACAATCAACAGATATATTTATACATATGCACACAACAATCAATATATACAACATAATAGTCACTTGAAAATGTATAATGTAATGGTTATGGTTCGTCAAACTATGTCAAGCTTATGTTCATAATTACTTTTATCCAGGTAGTGTTTGATAGATTAAAATAAACCGGGACTTTCCCCCAAATATGAATCAAATTGTTCTAATTTTTGTTCAGTAATTCATTTAAAACAACGTAACAAACGGTGATCTTTTGCTCAACCTCAGCGGGTATTTTGTTGTTGTAAATATAAACAAATACACTTGCAGTCGCCCTTTATTTTCTTCTTATGTTTCAATGTACACATTGTTTAAAAACTGCCGAAGTAATGCAGTTACAGGATGAAGTTTAGTTGTATAGGAACATGATATTGCTCTTTGTAGCGTACATTACACAGAGGAGACTCACCGTAACAGAGGCTTTGTTGGAGGGAGACAATCAGGAGGAGAGGGGGAGAGAGAGACACAAACACAACACGGCACGTAACAATGCTTTAGCACGTGTTGGAAGATTGTAGGAGTTTATGTCAATAATTCAGAAATCATGAGTAAAAATTGCTCTCAATCTAGTCAATCAAAATGCAAATATCCAAAAGCAATGAGTCCATTGTGTTGTTGCTGGTGAGAGACATTTGAGTCTCAGGAAGTGGATCTAATGAGAGAGAGTGTTGGGGAAGCAGTCTGCTGTCTTCAGGCGAGATTCTGCCACTCAATTACACGTGTGTGTGTGTGTGTGTGTGTGTGTGTGTGTGTGTGTGTGTGTGTGTGTGTGTGTGTGTGTGTGTGTGTGTGTGTGTGTGTGTGTGTGTGGTGTGTGTGTGTGTGGTGTGTGTGTGTGTGTGTTGTGTGTGTGTGTGTGTGTGTGTGTGTGTGTGTGTGTGTGTGTGTGTGTGTGTGTGTGTGTGTGTTCGTTCGCGTTCGCGTTCGTGTGTGTGTGTCACTGTGAAGCCATGTGAGGAAGTGAACCACTTTTTTGCCCAAGGCCGGCTTCTGGACATCAGCGACCTTTAGGCCAGCATAGAGGAATGATGTCATCATTGGGGGACAGTGTCAAGTTTGCCTAGAGAGTTGTGTGTGTGTGTGTGTGTGTGTGTTAGTCACTGCAGCATGCTCTCAGTGAGAAAAGGTTATGTGCTACAGGACTTATTTTCTTCCTGTTGTTGGTTTATTAACGGTCGTTGTTGTGTAATTTAATATTCATATGTTCTGTGCTCGGTATGAGATATTCAGGACCTTTACTTATATAATAGCAACGAAGAAATATGGATATTTGTAATGTAGAAATCTACGGAAGAGGATGAGGGCCACGTGTGAATATTTTTGGATATGACCAAAAGAGATTAAACTAATACTGACTATTTCTTAGGAAAAGTGTTGACTTTTTGTTAAAAAAATAAATAATTCTTAACATTAAAAATGTTTTCTTAAAAATGGAAAAAGTTTGAATGTCCTCAGATTCTTTTGTTAGAATGTAACATTTTCGAATTTTGACTTTAAAAAAAAAAAATTATACTTTTTCCTGGATTTGTAACTTTTTCTTAAAATATTTACTTTTTGTTAGAAATTTGACTTTTTTTCTTAAGAGTAACATAATTCAGGTATTCACCAGAACACACTCTTGGGGTGTTTCTCAAGGTCGAGGAAAGCTGCTCCAGAGACACTATTTCATTTTTCTTAGAATTTTGACTTTTTCTTAGAAATTATAATTTTTCTTAGAATTTTGACTTTTTCTTAGAAATTATAATTTTTCTTAGAAATTATCATTTTTCTTAGAGATGTGAATTTATTAGAATTTTGACTTTTTTTCTGATCTTTGACTTTTTCTTAGAATTTTGACTTTTTCTCTGAATGTTTCTTAGAATTTAGAATCTGTGCTATGTCAGCCTTTTTTAAGATTACCACAATCCAGTTATTGCCCAAAACACACACGAGGTCTGTTTGTGTTGTAAGTATCATTTGCTTAAAGTGTATACTTCTTGATTCCCTGTGTCTCCCCGCTTAGCTCTTATCTCCTTCTAAAGTTTATAAACATTTGAAGCTCGCTCCCTCTGTCCTCCTCATGTTTTCTATGGCCATAATTAAGCAACATTTATGTCTCCGCTCTGCTCAGTCTCACATGCTAATTGGTGACACTGCAGTTCAGCTTTTGTCCAATTACTCCCGGCTCTCGCTGGCTTGATTAGCAATCAGTTTCTCTCCCTTTCCTTTTAAAAAACAGCCGTGAAGCTCCGCAGCGCTAAGTGGCTCATGAGCCTTCCCTGAGCTCGCCCACTTCATTTCAAAATGACCTCCGTATCAAAGTCCACTTCCTCCGCGATTCTCTCCGGAGATTAGTCTCGGTTTGTTCAAATAGCACTTTTCCAGCTTTCAGACTTACTTTATTTGCTTCAGCACCAACAGGAGTAAATGTTTTGGCTTCGACACGCAGAGGAGCAGAGGTTGACGGGAGGAAATTCTCACTTTTCAACACATGCAGCTTTTAACCTTTGAGTCTCTTGAGTGCATTTAAAGACTTTCCACTTAGAGCTCAGCACTGTTTGTTTTCATGCATGACCATGACTACAGATGTCCTCAATCGTCTGTTTGTTCCTGCAGGGTTTACTTTTGTACAGCATCCTTTTCTCTTTATATATGTATACTGTATAGTTAATTATCTAACCCTACTTTAGTAAATGTCTTTCCACTATTTACCTTATGCAACCTCGGCTAACTAGTAAACATTAGCTTTCTATCTAACAATCTATCTGTACACAGCATACATGAGTACATCCCCTCTGAACATCAATATATATGTCAGCTTAAATCAAGGGTTGCAAAAACCAGTACACCCCTGATTAAATTAAACAAATGTGACATATATTAATACTTAGTACGTTAAACAAAACACAAGACCTGGTGGCGTACGGGAAATACTTAAATGCATACCGTAGTCTCGTAAAAACACGTAATTTCTTAAGTTAAGTTAATAATAACGTCTTGACTTTTGGTGGCAAACGGGACTCAAACTCACGTCTTCTAGGAATAAATGATTGCTTTTGCTCCACCCATCTTTGTCGCTAGTATGTTAAAAATATATACAACACCTGGTTGTGTACGAGAAATACTTGAATACTTCACGTATAACGCGACGTAGTCTCGTACAAACGCGTTATTTTATAAGTCAAAATACTGTTGTTTTGGATTTTGGTTGCACTTAAACTCTATGAATAAATTCTTGCTTTTGCTCGACCCGTCTTTTGTCGCTCTTTATAATACTAGACATCATTAGTTGAGCCTTTCCTAATAACTATATGCACTATAATGATATTAATGAGAAGCTGCTTTACAAATCTGAAGAAGTGAGCATGGCCTGCAAAACCTCCTTCTGCTGTGTCTTGATATTATTGCTCTGGGCTCAGTGTAGTATCTGAAGACCGATCGTATTATGATCACGTCAACATTTTTATTAACTCTTCTCTCAACGGGACCAACGGGAGGGCAAGGATCAGAGAGTCTTTAAATAAGAACCAAATCCCAGAGGAGATCTCACACTGGATGGAAATAACAGTCTCATTCACACTGACATTTTAATGGAGGCCCTCATCCTCATCCTCATCATCATCACCTGTGATATAAAATGCCACAGATGTTCACACTGTCCAGAGGTGGGAAGTAGTGGAGTACAAATACTTTGTTACTGTACTTAAGTACATGTTTCTGGTATCAGTACTTCACTCAACTACTTTTAACTTTCTACTTCTCACATGTTGAA